CATTCTCACCCTCCTTTTCTGAGTTGTTTCTCCCCACTAACATAAATTCACTGCCCTCTAAGGTTCCCATGTAAACTTTTGAGTTGCTGTTGTCAATTCGATCCCATACAATTAGCTCTTAAAAGGACATAATATTCAAGGGAGACCTCTGTTACTAGTTAAGCTAAACTATTGTTTGGTTTATGATGACTTCACAGGATGTTTTTGGTTTCAAGTTTAAAGATTATCTCAAGGCAATTTTATCAGGGGTTCATCCACCCTCCTCACTGTAGAAAGTCCATGAGAATTTAAAATACTGTTCTGAATTTTTCCCCTTTTGATCAGGAGTATTCTATGGAATCTTTGATCAAAATGTTCAGTAAAGATAACCAGGCAACATCCAGTTCTGGTCTCATGGCAAAGGAGGCAGTTGTTCATGGAGGCAATTAGCCACACACTTCATATCCCCCTCCTATTCCTGACTCTCCTTCTTCTGTTGTCCCAAATGAATAGACACTTTTTTTTTTGTCTTTTGTCTTGGATAGCTGCTTGCAAGCCTTAAGGACCCTGGGTACTATGTAACTAACTAGGAGTGGAACAAAGGCACTAAATATGTTATTAGGCTAAGGAACTGAGATGTTCCTTGAAACCATGACCACAAACCGCACAATTAATTTTTAAGACCACCTCTTTCCTCTCTAATTTTACTGTGCTAAGGACAAACCATGCAGTTCCTTTAATATTTGTTGAGAAATTTCTTAAGTCAAATATCCAGTTAATTATTTACAAGTTCTACCTTCCACCAAACATTTGAACATAAGTCAGACAGGTTCTTTGCCACTGCATAAAAAGCATTGCCCTTCTTCCATTATGCAGTCACATGTCTATCATTTTCTTTTAAATCCTCACCAGAGGCACATTTAACATCTGCATGTTTAGCAACATTCTGTTTATGGGATGGTGCCATATCTAAGATGATAGAGACCTTCTCTATGGCTCTCCTCACTTCCTTCTAATCCCTTACCAAAATTGACTTTGATGTCAATAATTCTACAATAGTCTCTTCAAGCCAATTTAGGCTTTTACTATTAGGTGCCTTAAAATGCTTCCAGTCTCTACTCACTATCAATTCCACCCAATTCCAAATCACTTCCACACTGTAGATATTTGTTAGAGCTGCACCCCACTTCTGGTACCAAATTCTGTTTTAGTTATTTAGTGCTGCTACTTATAGAAATACCACAAAATGAGTGGCTTTAACAAACAGAAATTTATTTTATTGCAGTTAGGAGACTGTTGTTGTTGTTGTTGTTGTTATGTGCCATCGAGTTGGCCCTGACTCATAGTGACCCCTCCTTGAGTTTCCGAGGCAGTATCACTACGGAAGTAGGATTGCCCAACCTTCCTTC